TGTTTCGTATGGAACTGAGTACGGACTTCCGAAACGGCGTAATGCATATGAAGACTTAAAAGTGCCACAACTGGATGTATAACTCTGCATTTGATCTATTTCCAAACTTGACTTGTTTTACCAGTACTAATAAAATACCATAAATGACAATTGATTCCTTTACAAATATTGAATAAGTTTTTATTGTCAAGAAAATGTTCTGATTTGAAGCGCTTAATTTGTACTCGGTCCAATCCAGTTTTTCTATTTAAACCTAAAATGGTCTAAGAATGGTCCGATCATCAGTAAATCGGTTTTCAATCATCAATTAGTCAATGCAATCGATTTAAACTATGTACCAAATCTCTATATAATAATAAATAGCATAAACTATATCACCGTATATGTATTGCTATCTTTCTCTCTTCAAATGCATTTCAGTTTGTGCGTACAGGCATTCCGAATGAACGACTGCAACAACGGCAAAAATTCTCTTAAGTGAAGAGGAGATCAAGGTGAGATTGGTCAATAAATTATAAACGTATCATTTTTTCCCTCGTTTATATATGTTTCACTTTATTCAATCTGTGCTCTTCAATCGAAACCACTTTTGTGAATTATCTTTATTACAGTTGCATTGGTTTTTGTTTTGTGTATGTTTCCAACGTGATATTGGAAATGAAATGAGTACAAACAGTAGCACGTTGATTTATCAATAAAATAGTGTAACATTTATAAATATAGGTGAAATGACAACGACGACGACAACAACCACGAGTTAAATGATACAATGTATGACTTAATCGAAAATTCAGTGCGAGTAAAAATGACGAGATGAGCTCAAGGAGGCTCATAATCATTGTCAACCGCATCAGTATTTGCGCAATGCGCTCATTCAATGATTAAATGTGCGCAAGCGTACGTCTTTCATAAAATTGACTCACCAAGTCCATGATACAGTATAAATTTTAATGCGATAAACAAAAAAAAAAAACAAACAAACAAAAAAGCCCAAAGCTTTGTACACACAAAATGCCTTAGAACAAAAAGGCTTTTTTGTGCATCAAATCAAAGCCAGCACATGTCAACACACGCACACACATTTACATCAAGTCAGCAACTCAACCGGTTTGAGGGTCAAATGTGTATTGGAATAATATTCAAAACCATTTAATTAAATAGAGGATTTGATTGTATTTTCTTTTAAACTCGTGCGATTCAACTGACGCCGCGCCAACCGTACATCACTATGAATGATATGCCGTCCGTAATTTGCACACCTCTTTTCTCGCCTACTCCCCCATCATGTATTTTCCATTCGTCTATTTCACTAACGTTTCATCTGATTCAAAATTCACTTTTCTTGTTTGTTTTTTTTCGTTTTTATATCTCGTTGAAACTCAACAAGACTATGGAATCTCGATAATACGTTTGGCGTGAAACGAAGGAATTTTAATTCGTCAATTATATTATTCGGTACATTATATGTATACAGAGAGAAAAAACATGTTTTTTTTTTGATCATTTATTCAGCGATTCACTATCGCTTTTTTACCGAACATGTTTTTGGTTGTTTAATTCGTGTGAAATTCCGTGTTGAATTCGTGTTAAGTTACGGACGCTTACACATGCACACTGTCTCTTTCGCTCAGTAGTTAAATTGATTACATCTTACTGATCTCGATGTAAAACATCTAACACTGTCTATTGCTACTCTGTCGGAAGAAATTCTGTGTCACATGTCATTCATATCCGTGAGCGATTAATATAAAAAAAAAAGTGTTTTTCCTAGAAAATTCTCATCTCTAGACGGTGACATTGCCCGCATCAAATTTAAATTTTGTCGGCCACGGAAAATAAACAGAATCGCTTGGAATTTTGTCATAATTTGTTTATAACACTCTATTTTCACCTTGTTAATGAAGTAATTTAGATAAATGGGTGTTTGTTTGTCATTATGATTTTGAAACAATTTTTTTTCCTCTTAATAATTTATTTGTTTATTCATTCACCATGGTCAATCAAAATTTAAATTGAAGAATGGGCTACGCATATTTCAGTTTTCATTTTTTTGGCTTTGAATTTCATTTCGCAATGATTTATGCATAGCGTGAAATTGCACCACTTAACTCAAATGGCGCATACACACTCACGCACTCCAAAAAACAAAAAAAGTGAAAACGCAATTGATAAAATAAATATATATATGCATAGTAATGCAAAAATGATGATGTTTATGGTCTATGAACGCGTAGAGAAAAAAAATCATAATTAATATTGCGGAAGCAATCGAATGCCAAAACTATTTTGAAAATTAACTGAATTTGTTAAGCACAATCAATATGGGACGACACACAAGTGGTTGATGCTAATTTGGCTCTACATGAACATACGCACACAAAAGATTCGCAAATTTCAATTAAGCGAGTGCGCGCACAATGATCAAGAACAATAAACTCTTTTCATTTGTGGAAAAAATAAACACTCTCCAAAGTTCTACCGCGCACAAAAAAAATGAGCGTCATTTACGTTGAATTGCAGAATTTGTGATTTCGGTGGTAAATATTTAGCATTTAACGTCGCCAAATTTCAAACAAAGATAGAGAGAAAGAACTACAGATAGGAAGATAGAAGATAAAATTGTTGAAATGTGTTTGCAGTGTGAAAAGACTTGTTGTTGTTTTTATTGTTGAAAGTTTGCAAATTGACTCTAAAGCATTTGTAAGCATCATTTCAAGTACATTACATTTGAATTCCACTTTGAAAAGAATGTTGTTAGTAAAACAAATATGTTATTTCATGTGGCTTTCATGCGGCTGACTATATGATATTTACGTATATTTCATGTACATGTCGAGTGTAAGATTGACTATCAACAATGACGACGGTGGTAAACTTGCAGTGATATTTTGATAAAAAAAATCGACTTCATAATATCTAATCTTTATTAAAGCATTGATCGCTCGACGATGAACTACTGAAAATACACAATGATAAATGTTGATTGAAGCAGTCATTGGAATCCATCAGTTGATGAACCAAAATGTTATCATGATTCGATTGACCGCATTCATAAAATCAAAACAATGTTTCGCTTGAAATCGATTTTGAAAACAATAAATTATTTGAAATATAAAAGGAGAGTACAACTGCAACGTAAACCAGTCCAATCATAGCCGATGATGTTCATTGATAATTGTGATAATTATATATATCGGATTTTATCAGCACATCAATATCGAGGGAAATAAAATGAACAAAAAAAAGAGAAGTTTACTACTTCGAATAAGAAAACACATACATTTAATTACAACATATGTATATAAATTAATTTGTAAGTGCACTTGGTATCGAGCGAATCAATGTATTACATAGTCATTACACACAATGTTAATGAACGATAGAACCATGTAATCAAATGGAAAGAACTATATAAAATACAACAATACACCGTAAAAAAACATAACGAAAAACAAAGTAAAAATAAAACACACGAAAAAAGAACAATCCAAAATCCCACTCAATGAAAATTCAACTATAAAGTGATCGAGCGTGAATGCGAAAGAGTTATGAGTTAACTGATTCATTTGTTGGCTCTCTTTCACGCAAATCTCTGGCTAAATGTGTATAGGCGATCTGGTGTGCGGTGTGGATCATCCTCTCTTTCACTCTTTAATTCGCTTCATTTGTCAGCTTATTCTCGTTAGCTTTGGATCGTTTCAGTAGCACTCTGCTGGTAGCACACTGGAACCCGTTGCCGTTCGGTAAACGGGCGCGCACACAGAATCAAAATATTCACAGTATCATTTCGTACACACCGAACGCCATACAACCACAAACACACAATAAATGTGGAGAAATAAATTATTTTGTACAAAATAACAAAGAAGAAGAAAAGAATTAAATCTGAATCAGTATATGCGACGCTACTCTTTACTGCTCAATACACAATTATATATATAATTTTTTTTAAATTTAAAACCCCCGGCGTATAACGTTTAGTTTGAATTTGGACTGTTTTGCAGATAGTTCATAATTTCTATTCGCAAAGCGAGTGCATTCGAATTGTAGATCGCAAGGAACGCGGACACACTGAACACACTTTTTTCGTTTGTTTAAAATGAAATTAACTGATCCAATTAGTGCGGCAGCCAGTGGTGTTGGTGGCGGTGAGTTTAAACCATTGAAATGAAATGAACAAAAAAATACGTTAAGATTCGAACGCATAAATTATTTGTTTTGGTTTTTGTTTGAAGAATTTCGGCTTGAGTATGAGAAAAGGAGTTTTCCTTAAAATTTCAATAAAATATTTTTGCTGTTTAAATTCAACAAAAATATTATTCTTTTCTATGGGAATGAAAAAAATTTCTTCGATAATTTTGTGGCTTAAAATTTTGTCGAAAGATTTACGCTAGATGTGTATTGAAATGTTCAAGTAGGGATTGGGTCGCGCGATTCTCCTTTTCCTTTCTTCTGAATATTTGTGTAAAAAACTGCAGAAAAAAGTGAAAAAGAAAAATACATTTTTTCTACCAAAGTTGCGAGGTACGCCATAAATTTAATAAGTATTGAAGATTTTCTTTTCTTTGGTTTAGCGAAATTTGAGTAAAAACATGTTATATCCCAACAATATATTTAATGAAAATTATTGAAGTATTACGTGAGAAATTTGCATTGTGTAACGTTCGATTGATAGCAACTGTAAAAAAACAAAAAGTGACCATTTTGATAGCAGAGTGAATGTCACCAACAACGGAGCGTGCAAGCAGAACCAAATACAATGAAAAATAGAAGACGTTTATGATAGAAAAAACGCACTTAAAAGTGGGTTAAACATGCAACATTCTATTGGCAATTTTACAAAGAATGGCAACCATAGAAATAACGTGACAACGAACCGAACATTCAAGTAAATGAGATGCACACAATTGAGAGAGAGAGAGAGAGAGAGAGAGAGAGAATTCCCACAGTGAAGTGAATCGAATCAATGAACTGAAGAAACCTTTGAAATGCTCAACTACTAAAATCAAGTACTCTCCATTTATCGAGAAAAAAAAACAATAATCATGAATGGGATAATATCGGCATATGGAATGGTTATGTGTGAATTGCATTGTGTGTTTTTACTCTTCATTGCAATTCAGCCGTTATTGTCGTTTGCCGTTTTGTTGCGCAAATTTAGCATTATATTTATGTTTACGGTCAAATGATAGTTCATTGGAATTTCAATAATCACTGTGCGTTCAGACCTAAAATCAAATGTTCACAAAATAAATTAAAGGAAAAAAAAATTCGGCATAGAACATCTCATACTAGTATTTTTTGTAGAGCATTTGTTGGTGTTTTTTTTTTCTATTGATTTGAAGATTATTATGAAAATTATAGTGAAGTGAGAAAAAAACGCCTGAAAGTTTAGCGATGAGCAAAAACACATGACATTTTGAATATGTATGCAGCGCACATAATCTGCTGAATTGCTGAACAAAACATGACATAAAATATATATTATATATACGCATACAAACACACACGCAATAGTAAATTGAGTTACTTGTCAAAACATCTATTCAGCAGATGTATACAAACACAGCACGTTTTTTTGTTGTTATTGACTTTCTTTAGTTTGACAACAAAGAAATAGAATGATAGACACAAAGCGTGATTAGCAAAGCAAAACAGATAAAAAAAAAACACTGTTCAAAAACGCACTGGTAATAATGCATTGCCCTCGCTAATGCAATATTTACCGTGTCATTCAAATGAGTACACACGCTATCCAAGTGCTTTTGTGATTGTTTTTTTTCTTTCGATCGTTCGTGCATTGTAATTTTCCAAAAATTGTTCGTTCGTTCGTTCTTTGACTTATCAATGTAATGAACTTATAAAAACCGTCGGAACAAAAACGATGTCATCCACACATCTCAAAAACATCTTCGTTTACTGTTTAAAACCAGTGAACATCCGATAACTACTAATAACAACAGTAAAAAGAAATAAAGAACCAACAAACGCCACAAGTTTTAAACAAAGTTAGCAAAAGCTAAATGGTTTTGAGAGTGAGAGCATAGAACAAAACGTAGAAAAAGCTGAAACGAGCAAACTCCAATTACAAAGTCTTTGTTAAATGGTTAAATGGCATTTCAATAAATGGGCGTCATTATTTGAAAAACAAAAGAACCAAATTTATTGATTTGCAATTTAAATTTGAAATTATTCGCCAAGTTTAGTTGATCTGTTCTATATTTCTCACTCTTTGTTGTGTTAAACATAAAACGAAAGAAGAGACGCACAACCACAAAAATGTTTTCAACGACATCCGAATCGGAGATTGAGTCGCTGTTGCCGTCAACATCGCGAACGCGTCGAGAAGATTATCAATCGATTGGTGAAAGCAACGTTGCTCAATGTTTGTGTTTAATTAGTGATATTATCTATGCAAAAATGCACGCAATTAATTTTTCACCATGATAACATTTTTAAATATTAAAAAGAGTTAACAGATTGATAGAGATAGAATCAGGGGAATGGTCGATAGACAATAGAATAACAAACAATACTGAATGAAATTGATGGATTTTAGTAAAAGCATGAATTGTGTGCAGATGATTTTACGTTCAAAATTCGCGCATTTTATAATAAAAACGCTTTAAAATGTTTATGACTCGATATTTGAATATTCATAGCGATTGTCTCATGAAAGAGATAGACACATTTAATTCTTAAATTTTTTTCTATTTAATTTTTCATTTTATTGATTTTTATTCTTCTTTTTTTTTCTTGCGTATGTGTTGAGCATGCAGCCAGCAGTATATTTGGTGTACGGCACTTGCAGGCGCTTCTGCTATTTTTGGGACTGACATTGGCATATGCAATGCGTGTTAATCTGTCGGTAGCAATTGTTGCCATTACTGATAAACATGCCGCCAATCCAGAATTTGAGGTGAATATATAGTATATATTCTTTGTGTCTCTTACACAATACATAAACCACTTAAAATCCAGTCACAATGTGCTCATTAATGCAATAAGAATAATAATTAATAATGTGATGATTAAATTTTCACAGGACCATGATTGGGATGAAAAGACAAAAGCATTAGTTTTAAGCAGTTTCTTCTGGGGATACGTGTGGTCACAAGTACCGGCTGGTCAATTGGCTCAACGGATTGGAGCTAAAAGGATTTTATTGTGGTCGATGCTTTTATGCTCAGCACTAACAATGCTTACACCGCTGAGCATTAAGTACGGTGACTGGCAGGTAAAACACTAAATCGCACACACACCCACACACATATCGTAAAATGCACAAAGTCCATTTAAAATCACAAAACGATGCACATCATTTTCAATTTGTGGCATTTGTGTCATTTGATGTGCGTATACCAATGGGAGGAAATGGCAGCAAATTTCAAAATTGGCGCGCTGTTTAGTTTCGATTTGAGTTGTTAAATTACATTGACGTCCCCTTTGAAATTGGTGGCGCCACCGTCGGCTCAAGGAGACTTGAAGTCTTCACATTCTGTCATTGGCGTATACACATCATCCCAAAAAAATTCCATTAACATGGCACGTTAATCTCTCTTAATGCACTTATGTTTGTGAATGTGCTCATGATATGAAATTCGACGATTATTACACTTTACTCGTCCCGTGTGAACTTTTAACACATGGAATGAATCAATTTTGACGTAATTGTACAGTTTTTAATGAATTTTTTTTTTCTTTTTTCATATTCCACTTTGTTTTACAATTTCATTTGTCAGTTATTGTGCGCATTACGTTTAGTCGAAGGTTTATGTCAAGGTGTGATATTTCCATCAACACATACGTTACTATCAAAATGGGCACCAGTATCTGAACGCGCTCAATTAGCAACTTACTGCTATTCAGGCTCACAGGTTGGTCAAATAAATCGTAACAGTTTTTTTTATTCGTCTCGTTTCATTTCCGTTCATTGAATAAATGTAATTTTTTTTTTTTTGTTGGAGTTATAGTTTGGAACAGTGGTAATGCTATCGACTAGTGGAATTTTGGCATCGTCATTTATGGGATGGCCCAGTATTTTCTATATTTCTGGTTTGTTATCGGGACTATGGGCAATTTTATGGTTGTTCTTCGGTAGCAATTCACCAGCTGACTACAAGTACATATCGGCCGAAGAGCGAGATTTTATCCAATCATCTTTGGGCCATACGGAATCGGACCCAGAGCATGACGAAAAGAAACATCGTAAAACACCATGGGGTGACATTTTCACATCGTTACCATTCTATTCATTGGCCATTGTACATGCAGCACACAATTGGGGCTTCTGGACCTTATTGACTGAAATGCCTTCATACATGAAAGGCGTTCTGAAGTTTGATATCAAAAAGGTAAAAATCCACTGTCAATTCTTTAAATAAAAAATAAATAGGTCATGCACAAGCTCACACACAAATCGTGCACATTATATCGCAAGTCGATTGCATTACAACATCTAACATAATTCGAATTCTCATGTGTCCTTCTTTTATATGTCATTTCTTTTGAAATACATAGAATGCTCTACTATCAGCTCTACCGTATCTAGCAATGTTGTTGCTGAGCTATTTCTTTAGCTTTTTATCGGGCATTTTGGAGAGAAGAAATTGTCTTCCACTCAAATACAGTCGCAAAGTGTTCAACACTATTGGTAATGATTGGTCAATGTGAAATGACGGTGCGAATCAATGAATTTATTGTGTGATTTTCGTTTTTCGTTTTTCGTTCTTCGTTCGGTCAGGTCATTGGGTTCCAATGTGCGCATTAATTGCTTTGGGATATGTGTCGTCAACCGAAAAAGACTTGGCCATTTTCCTTTTGGTAATTGCGGTTGGCATTAATAGTTCAACGTATTTAGGTTTTCAGGTGAGTTCAATTGCATGATATTTTCGTTAAAAAGTGAGTGAAATTTGGTCGTTTTTCTTAATTTATTTCAACTTTGTGGAATAAAATGAAGGTGACATTTCATTATTTCAGTATCCAATCATTTGGCCACATTTCACTTGAAACGTTAAAACCATTTCAATGTTTTTCTCTCTTTCTCTGCACTTTTTCATAGGTTAATCATATTGACATTGCTCCAAACTTTGCTGGAACATTAATGGGATTAACGAATGCAGCAGCAAATGTGATGTCAATCATTGCCCCATTGCTAGTTGGTTTTATTGTAAAAGATGATACTGATCCAGTTGAATGGCGTTTAGTATTCTTTATTTCGGCCGGTGTATATTTCTTTGGAAATTTAATGTTTGTTCTGTTCAGTTCGACTGAAATTCAAGTATGGAATGACCCAGAGCACCGAGACAGACGTAAGTTTTCTTTAATTCTTTTCATATTGCCTTTATTAGAATTGCACATACACACACACAAAACACTCAAATCCAGTCAATGCATTTCAATCGAACGACACATTTCAAAGACTTGAGATTTATATTTAAACCGAAAGAATGTTACGAATTGAATTGCATTTCTATCGATGCTCTTATTCTTTGAATAAAATAAATAATATTTTCACTTTTGTTATTTTCCCTACTATTTTCCACAGAAATTCAAGCCAATAAACATCGACGACGAAGCAGTTGCTTGGAAGCACAAGGCGGCTTTTAAACCCATTAACGTCAAACCGATTTACCGCAGTGATCTAGCAATGATACTATGTATCTCATTGTGTCATCATAACTCTCTTTTTTGTTTCGTGTCTGTTTAGTAAGAGCGAATGCGATTTATATAAATATGTATCCTAATTTAATTTGTGAATGCCTGTGAAAGATTGTGCAAATATGCGTGCACAACAGCATTGGCCAATGTGAAGATTTATGAAAAATTAAGTAATAAATAATGGGCGCGTGCCAAATATGATTTAGTAGACGATTGCAGAAAGGCAGACAGCGAAAACTTTTTTTTCTTTGACAAAAACATCGTAAACGCACCATTTGTCGTGCGCAATATTTTCCAAAATGTATTTAATAGTTCGCAGTATTATGTATATTACAGTGATGATGATGACGATGATAGATGAATGAACTTTCCATGTCATCTTATAACTAAAGTACAATATTAAGTGAATTCAATTGTATATCATATATTTTTGTAATTTATTAAATGGCAATTTGTAATTTGAGTGTGCATCAGACGAAAGAGAAGGATAAAAAATGATGTGTAAATGATATGGTTGATTTTTATCCGCGCAATTTCGTCTTGAACGTAAATGCAAATAAGCCGTGTTGTATGTGTACCAAACTGTGTGTTACGGGTTCAAATGTCATGCGATGAGGATATACGAACATAATCGTAACCCATTGCCTTTAGGCACTGCACAAACACACACCACACGCACACACTCAATATTAATATTTAAAAAAAAATGTTTCTAGTTACCCGTCGTAAATTATAAATAATTATTATTATTACAGGCAAAACAATCGTGTGATGTAAGCAAAAATATTTTGCAGATAATTTCTTTATTTTTCTTATCTGCAACACAAATTATTTGCATTGTCTCTGGTTGTTTGCTGAAAAATGACTCAAGTCGATTCCTCTTCTTTTTTTTGTATGATATATTGTAAAATAAACGAAATAAAGTAACAATTTTAAACAAGACGGAAGTAAATTTAAATACATTTTTATCATTGCATATTCTTTTCAGAATTCTGTGTCATCTTGTTGAGTTTAAATGTTTCATTTTTTTCTACCCCATTATTATTCGAGCTGTAGCTTAAATTTTGCTCTGCATTTAGTTTGGAGTTCTTCATTTTTTCTATTTTGAAATAAAATCGATTTTCAAAGAATCGAAATAAGTCACATTGGACAGTAGAGAGAGAGAGAGAGAGAGAGAGAGGAGGAAAAAAGTGAAGAAGTCTATTTATTTATCTTTGAAAATGTTCTATGTAAAATGTCCAACAATGTTTGGCTGTGTAGATTTTAAAAGATTTGTTCCAAGAGTTGGAAAATCCATAGCGAATTTTGCATATTAGTGCCTGAGCTAGTGAGAGAAAGAGGTGGTAAGTATGTAACCGAGACTGAGAGAGGGACACAGAAAGAGAGCGCATGTTGAGTGAATCTTACTGAATTATGCAAATGTAATGCTGCTGGTTTATTGCATAAAATAGCTGAAGTTAAGTTAATGTTATCCTCTTACCAGTTAGTTAGTGTGGAATCGAGAATAAAAGAATATTGCGAGCGAGAGTGTTTGTGTTGGCTTTATTGCAATCAATGTTCGGTCCATTCGCAGCGGAACTTTTTATTTTTAATCACTGCAATTGTACATGAAAAAGTGCTGAGGAGAAAGAGATGTAAGCGGAAAACTTTTGCATGCAATATTCAACATTTATTCGCTACGGATGGCCATCGTCCGGAACTTATCAGCAATAAAATTTTATGAGGACAGGAACACACACACAAAATTGGGGTTGAGTTGATGAAGTCGAAAATAAACATATGCATACATTGGCTCCATAAGTGCATCTCTTAAGACACACACACACATAAACGAACTGCAAGCTCTATTTCCACTTTACAAAATATTTTTGCTTGAATATATTCAAAATAGCCTGAATATATTCAATTTAACTCACTAATAGTTCGCTTTTGCATTCTTTTCCATTCGAATAATAATAATACTAATAAAATCAAGACTCCTTCACATACATTCAAAAAATGAATGCCAACAACTTTGCATCCCAGTTTGTAAGGGTCGAGAATTAAAATACACAACCCGATAACATCGAAAAAAAAAATTACACGATTATACTGATAAAAAATGCTATTAAAACGAGTATGCGCTAAACCGATTTTTTCCACTAATTTTGTAAAATATTTTTCACGGGAACGATCAACATTTATGTGTTGATATATTCGCTTATGCAAATACAGTAGCATTGAAAACAACAAATATTACGATTTATTAGGCCAAAAACAAACATAAATTCATAATATCAATTCAGAGATTTTAAGTTGAATGCAATGATATACATTTTACATTTATAGCCTTCGGTGATAACAAAAGGGAATGTATATTTTGGAAAACTTTTTTTTTTGTGAAAATACAGCTTACACAGAAAACAATGTAAATTAGATTTCTGAATATGAAAGTTTGAATTAAAATTCGTAGACTATTTATATTTTTTACTGTCATTATTTACACAAAACTCTAAACAAATAAAATCAAACTTTAGTTTTTAATAGCAATGTAAAATGTTATTCTTAAGTGAAACCGATTTATATCATCATCATGTTACAACGTCAAGTTGTACAACATCCTAGTCAATATCTACATGACTTTTATTCTGCAAATCATGTAACATTTCATAAATCACAAAATCAAGAATCGTTTGATACAGTCCCCTCCATTAAAAACTTAAACCATTCAAAATGGATAGTATTCTCGTCAAAATGGATAGTACATGGAAAATATCGCTGAAGGCAGTGTAAAATTCTGTAGTTCGACAAAATATACATAAAATATACATAATGAATTATTTTACGGCCAAATAAATACACAGCAAGTGATTTATCGAAATAAATTTAGCACATTTTGGATGATGTTTGAAAACTGATTCTATGTTGTTCTATGTAATATATTTAGTGTAATTGAAATACATTTAGCATGTTCATTTTTTGATAATATCAAAATTGTTTGAATAAAGTAACGATTTCATCCAATTTTCAGCTGTTGAATTAATGAATATCTCAACCTTCATTGTCAACAATGTTTACCAAATACTAAAGCTTAATTGAACGCTCTAGAATAAAAACAACTTATTGTTTACTCGCATATCGAAACGCGACTCAAAACGGTTGCATATCAAAGCGAGACAATATTTCGTTACCAAAGGAATAAAGAACATTGACTTTTAATTATACAAAATGTGTAAGTTTCATTTTGTGCTGATAACTAGCTACTGTTCTGCCTTGTTACTTTTCCGCACACACATAGTGTGAAAGGGGAAAGTATTGCAATGGGTCAAAATTTACGACATCTCAAAAACATGTTTTCTGGACGTTTCTGAGGTCAGAGAACCCGAATCAGGCCGTTTTGAGCATGGTTGTTGTGGGTCTGTTCCACGTCGTACGTTGTCCGCCGTACGCAAAATTTGTCCATCGATTATCTCACCCCCCAGAAAAGTTATTTGAAATCTGACTTCACGGGATGATTGGGGGTCCCGAGGAATAGAAATCATTAGCTTTTGAGCGACTTTGGTCGATGGAAAAAAATTTCATGCCTGTAGTGATACCTATGAAAAAGAGTCCAATTTTCGTCGAAAAGTCATACTTAATGTAGACTTAAACACTCAAAAATATGTATTGGGGGGTTTTTTGGCACGAGAAAACCGAATCCGATGTTTATTTTGAGATACAATTAAGTTTTAACAGAGTTTCTTTGAAAAAATCGCGAAAAATTTAATTTTTGTATGGGAGCCATGCCTGTATGCTACCTTAATGACGTAAAAATTTGCACAGACTATTTTTCACACAAAAAAATAACATTCTGAAAGTTTGAAGAGATTTCAATCAAAATTAGGGGCACCTCTCATACAAAATTTTCAATTTTTGGATCAAAAACGAATATTTTGTATGGGAGGTGCTCTTACTTTTGCTTAAAATTTCTCCAAACCCTCCGAATGTTATTTTTTTGTGAGAAAAATAGCCTGTGCAAAGTTTCACACCATTAAGGTAGCATACAGACATGACTCCCATATAAAAATCCAAATTTTTTGTGACTTTAGTTATGAAAAGTGTTTCAAAAATAATTTTCATGGCAAAATTAACGTCAGACATATTTTTTATAGTGTTTTGTTAGAAATAGAATACTTTCAAATGTCGTACAAATGGGTTCATCATGAAAGTGTGAAAAATCTTTTCTCGAGTACTTCTGCTATTAAATCAAAGAATATTTCGTTGCCAAAGTTGGAACATATTTTTTGGTCTCGGACTTTACGCCGCTTGAAAGGCTTGAAAAATCGAACAAATATTATTTTGAACTTTCTTAATAAAATACACAACTACCACAGTGCGGAAAAGTTCGTCTTACTCCCGTAAGACTCTTTATTTTAGTAACAGAATTTTGTTTCGCTTTGATATGCGACGCAGTTTAACGATATAAATATTTCACACTCTCGAAGGCTCGGTATAGAACACACAAAAAGTGAAAAAAAACTTCTTATTCTCAAATTTCATATACAATCAAATGGCTTGTACCAGCGATTTTTATTGCGCAGTTGTGTGTGAATAGAATGTCCGTTGTAAACATTCATACATACATGGAGGAGCGAGATAGCATTGGACAACGATTTGGGTGACAAACATGACACATTTTTATGTTCTGATCACATCACATGATATAGACCATTTTGTGGTGTTCGAGAATTGAGAAAAAAAAATCAGATTTTTTTTCACTTTTATGCTCTATACAGAGTCTCCGAGAGTTTCATATAAACTGGCCTTGCAATAGCCAAATGACGCCTATTGATTCAATCACGATTGATATTCGCTTACTATTCAATAGGCATCACATAGCAAGTTTATATGAAACTCTCGGAGACTCGGTATAGAGCACTCAAACAGTGAAAAAAGTCCAGATCGTGATT